TGGATGAAATCAAAGAGGTTTAGGGACTTTTAGAAGAGAGAATTCTGATCACAATTTCAGAAATGAAATCTCAATACATCCAAAAGTGTTTTACAAAGAGGGAAAAACGAAAATATAGGAGTAGGAAGCTTGGAGAGTAAGCTAGTCTTAACCATGGTTCACTAGGAACCATGGTAAGGTCTAGCTAACCACTCATGGTCTAGAGGCTTGGAGTGCAAGCTACTCACTTAGCTTGCTTGGTAAGCTAGCTAAGGAGAAGCTTGTGCTTCAAGCTTCCAAGCTTGAGAAGAACCAAGCTATTTGGCCAAGTGTGAACACAAGTGTGAACACATCTAGGTGGGCGGCTCTTTGGACTTAATTTACTCCAACCGGTTTTGAAATTGATAATTTGGTTTAGTTAGGTTCATCCAATGTGAATGGAACCTAGCTAAATCAAATCTATGAAAAATTAGGAGTAAAATGAGTCCAATATGTAAATTTTAGCCTAGGACCACCTCTTGGCTAAATTGCTAGTAACACTCTCTAGCTTGCTAATGGCACTCTCTAGCTTGCTAATGCCACTCCCAATCCTACTACTAGAAAACTAAGAAAAGAGTGTATTTCTAGGTTAGGTTAAATGGAGTCAAAGTGCCCAAGTAACCTACCCTAGAAACAATATACAATAGCTACTAAAAAGGAAATAAAGTGCCTCACAAATACAAAGGCAAAAATACACCTATACAAGTATCTACTATATACAAGGTACAAGAAATCAAACTATACAATATATTTACAATAGAGACTATGAGACTAAAAAGAGGAATCATACTCAATACTCATATTGATCATAGGTCTAAGAAGCACCTCCTCTATAGAATCCTCCTCTAGCCTCCTAACCATAGACCTAGTTAGAGGCCTAATGGTCTTCATGGGTGAGCCTCCTTGGATCAACCTTCACCTTTCTTGGTCTTACCTCTTCCAAATGGATCCTTGGGGATTAGATTTCCATCACAACTTGTCTCTTGAAGTGGAAAATTAGCTTTGTTAAATAAGAATCACTAACAAAAATTTGGTTAAGCTTTTCAAACAAGATTTAAAAAAACTAACTAGGGATTATCCTTGCGAAACAACTTTTAAAAAAAAAACTTCCTTCAAACACGAACCCACACATTCACCCCCCTATTTTGTGTGTATTTCCACTAACTTCAGAACAGAGTCTAGGTACACTGATCTAAGGGCTAACATATCACATCCGGTACAAGCGAGAGGTCTGAATTACACAAACCTCAGGTTCAAGAAGCAACACTGCATTCGACAAGGCTAAAGGCTAACAATCCATGTCATTGATCAATGCACATAGATTAATTTCTTGAAAGTAAAAATAAATTTGCATTTTAAGCATTAGCATAGAAGCATCACTGCATAACATGCATATGGCACAAGTGTTCACAAAAGGGTATAAGTTCACTAAATTTTTTTTTAAAATAAAAAGCAACATGAGCAAAACATCAAAACTAAAACTTCTAGGGAACATCTTCCAGATGTAGATTCTTCAATCTTCAACAATCAAGAGGCCGAAGCACTCATAAAAGAGATCAATAGTTAGATAGTGCCTTAAGAGCCAAGATCATGTCAAAAAGCCTAGCCCCAACAAGGGCATTCCATACAAGTGGTTTCATATAGCCACATAGAAAAAAAAAAAGATACATCAACAACAAGACGGGATAGAACCAGACGACGAAGAATAATCAAGTCCACAAGCATAAAGAAACCACCAAGCCTTATTCTGTCTTCGACCGAGCTTTACTCCTCAACCGAATGAAGGATGATCCAAGAGAATGCCAAGACCAGGAATGGTTTCCTCACCAAAGCCAGGAGTGGCTTCCAAAATAATACTCATCAATAAAGATTGAGCAAATAACATCATCATGGGATGTGATCCCTCCACCAATGATGACAACAAAATATAAAATCAAAAAAAGGCAAGCTTCGTACGTGTTGAAAAAGCTGAAGCGTTTAGAAAAATAGCAGAGAAAGGCAAGCTTCAAACATAAAAAATTTGAAGCTAAACAAAAATGAAATTTAGAAAAGACCCTACCATAAGCAGATGCCTGAAGAGGCATCACAATACTCACATGGCGGGGGCAACATCGAAATCCCTACCAGCCATCCATTTCTCTACCCACCAACACAGGGGCACATGAAACATCTCCTGCCCATCCACCCAAGGGCAGTCTTTCATCCCACAACACCAATGAGAAGACATCAAGTACAATAACAAATAGGGTTACCAGACCTTAGAACTAGTATGGGCCAGTTGAAGCCTTAAAATATTAGTATAGCCTGGAGAGGCTGAGCTACGAAAATACTACAACAACAAAGAGGGTTACCAAACCTTAGAACTAGCATGGGCCGGCTGAAGCCTTAAAATATCATTCCAGCCTCTCCAGGCTAAGCTATGAAAATATTACAACAACAAAGAGGGTTACCAGACCTTAGAACTAGCATGGGCCGGCTGAAGCTTTAAAATATCAGTCTAGCCTCGAGAGGCTGAGCTACGAAAATACTAGAACAATAAAGAGGGTTACCAGACCTTAGAACTAGTATGGGCCAGTTGAAGCCTTAAAATATTAGTCTAACCTGGAGAGGCTGAGCTACGAAAATACTACAACAACAAAGAGGGATACCAAACCTTAGAACTAGAATGGGCCGGCTGAAGCCTTAAAATATCAGTCCAGCCTGGAGAGGCTGAGCTACGAAAATACTACAACAACAAAGAGGGTTACCAGACCTTAGAACTAGCAAGGGCCAGCTGAAGCCTTAAAATATTAGTCCAACCTAGAGAAGCTGAGCTACAAAAATACCACAACAATAGAGAGGGTTGCTAGACCCTAGAACTAGCATTGGGCCAGCTGAAGCCTTAAAATCTCAGTCCATCCTGGAGAGGCTAAGCTACGAAAATACTCCCTCTTCAACAAGCTACAAATAAAGGAACACATTATCCCAAGAGAAACAATGGAGCTTCTACTTGAAGACTGAATATTAGGTGTACAATTTGTGAGCCTTGTTACCTAATAGAGTACGCAACCAACACTCAACTTCTCTAAAGGGTGAGGATACGAGCAAATACACCTATCCAAGGGAAACAACGCAGAAGCTCCAGTACCAAAGAGACAAAGAGAAGACCCAGATGAAATTTCTATGTCTTTATTTGCCTTTGGAAAAGCAACACATAGCTATTCTAAAGGACAAGTAAAGAGGGGCAGTTATAGACACCCAATTTCGTCCGAACCAACAAAAGTAATGAAATGGACGTCTATCATCAAAGAAATGGAGCTCCCAAGCATGGAAATAACAGGACATGACATCATAAGGCTATGAAGCTTCAAGCTAGCCAAGATCAGACTACAGTTAATGATCCTTCTTCTCCACCCACACGCCATGAATTATGGAAGTTTGCTCGCATAAAAAATGGGCGAGTTTACAACTGAGGCAGCAAAGGAGATTGCTAACAAGATAGTAAGTATAATTTTCTTGTACATATGATGCTAATTAACAAATGGATCGATAGATGTTTATTAAATTATTTTTGTGTATTGTATTACAGAATATATTGGAACAACAGTCCAACGAGGGACCGTTTGTTTCCCATGGACGCTAGGATATACTCATAGTTGTAATTGGGAGGCCTGAGCACCTAGGCCGGGTTCGGACTGCTAGTAGAGGTCATAGTTTACGGACCTACTTTAGATCACAATCATCTTCACAAACATCTGCCATGATGGACCAGTTGGTGGAACTAAAGGTCTCTCAGGTTATAGCAACTTATGAGCAAAAATTTAGTCAGATGTAGGAGGAGATTCATAAGCGGCTACAAGAGGACATGCAAAGGCAGCTACAAGAGCATATGTAGTCACTCAACCAACAATTTCAGCAAAGTACTCCACTAATAGAACCATTTATTGCACGTGTGAGTACCAAGGGATCATGTGCATCTATTGATCCCTTTGTTACTGCACTGGCACTGGTACATATAATAAATGTGAGTTGTTTGTGGATGGATCACCCGATCATGTGGGCATAGGGAGGATTCATATATTAGGGTCCACTATACACCATCAGGTCATGGGAGATGATATGGTTAGGGTTTACATGTTGGATGTTAGACACCCAGAGGCTAGAGTTCCTGTACCCACAAAGGAGGTTCAGACGATGGGACAGGCCTTGAACACCTTCCTTTAGTGACCTCATAAGTTAGTGAAGATGATATCTACAAAGGTATGTTATTTAAATAATATTTAATTTTAAGTTGGTGTAATTTTATTATAATATAGTATAATATTAGTTTTGTACTTTGTGGAATAGGATATTGTTACCTCACCAAAGGGTAAAGGGAAGGTCATTGTTACCCTTCTAGAAATCTTCCTCCAATAAAGAGGCTATGGAGATTAGTTGCAGATATGGAAGATGATGAGCAACCCAAACAAGTCCCTTAGGCTCCTGGAGTGTTTGACATGCCTAGTAAAGTACCTCTATATATAAGTCAAAGTGACATATCAAAGATTACAAATGGTCACTGTATGCTAAACATAACAGTTTTGCAATTGTGGTTGTTGTAAGTATTTAAATTAGTTTTAATTATATTTTGTTGATTTTTTCTAACATTGTTTCTAACGTTGTAGATTTATCCATAAATTGAGTGCGGATATGTTAGTTTTAATTATATTTTGTTGATTTTTTCTAACATTGTTTCTAACGTTGTAGATTTATCCATAAATTGAGTGCGGATATGGGGAATGATCACATATATGGATTTTTGGAACTTGAGTCAATCCAAAAAAGTGGGAACAAGGTCGAAGAAATACAAGCTTACATTCAAAGTTGGATGTCTGACTAAAATAAAAAAGTTTACTTTGCCCCTTATTTTTAAGAGTAAGTTTACTTTTATATAATTAATTATAATTTTTTTTATAAAAACTATTTTCTATCACTCATAATTTCTTAATGCAGTGATCATTGGCAACTTTTAGTTATTTGTCCTATGGACAACATAGCTGTATGCATTTGCTCGTTGCATAAACCTCCTCCTATGGATTTTAGACAATTATTAGATAGGTAAATTGTTTAAAAACGTCTAATTTCTTTTATTGATTATCATTACATTTGAATTTAAACTATAATCATAATGTCATTTTATCATTAGGGCCATGGAAGGATATCATATACTTAAGGGTTCAAAGTTGAAGAAGAAAATGAGTTGGGTCTCTCCTAAAGTAAGATTTTAATTCTAGCAATGATATTTTTTTTAAGTAATTTTTTTGAATTATTATTCTATTAAAATTGATTTTATATTATTTTTGTAGTCTCATAAACAAAAAGGAAATTATGAGTGCGAATACTATGTAATGAAGACAATGCATACTATTGTTGATTTACAAATAGTATCTAGATGGACTAAAGTAAGTTCTACAATTTTGAAAGTTTTTATTTTAAGTTCTGATTCTATATATTTTATCAATTATTACTATTTGTTCTAATTTTTCTTAACAGATATTTATAGATCAATCACCATTGTCGCTAGAAGACATAAACACCATTAGGGAGCAATGGGCCACATTTTTTATTGACTATTACATTAACTAGTTTGAGTTTATGTTTTATAGTATTGCTTTAACTAGTTAGTACTTACATTTCATTGAGCAATGTGGTCCATTTATGTATTAGATGTATTTAAAACTATTCAATTATATATATGGTTGACATTTATCATCTCTTCTCATTTGTATGCAATTTGGTTCATTGAGAAGTAACATAGAAAATACAGATATTTTAGTTAATTGAAAACATCTAAACTACCTAGTATTTATTCATTTTCAGGTTTTGTTTTGAGATGCTCCCAAAACAAGTCAAACATTCAAAAAAAATCACCACTTTTAAGATCAGTTATGTAATAACCGATCTTAAAGGTGAACTTTTAAGATCGATTATGTATAACTAATTTTAAAAATCTAAGGCTCTTAAGATCGGTTATTGAAACAACCAATCTTAAAAGTGCAGCTTTTTAAAATCATCTCTTTTAAAATTGGTTAGAGAACCGATTTTAAAAGTTAAAAATAATCGATTTTAAAATCCTTTTTTCCACTAGTGAACTATGGTATCTCACTCACCTCGTCTTTACTTTCTAATTTCAAGAAGACTAACATCATGTATGCTTAGATATTCTCTTTCAAAGATGTCTTAACTCGATTGACATCTCAAGAAGTACTAACTTTTACCCTTGATAGACTGACCAAAACAATGATTTTATTTTAACAGTTCAAAAAGACATGGTTGGAAGATAATCATTCCATACTAAGAAAGACATATGGATGACTCCAAGACAAACAATGTAACTCAACTACAAAACTCTTATTAGAAATTTTCAAAGGCATTTAAGACCATATCAAAGGCAGAAACTAGCTCATGAATTGGTGTTTTCCCCATCACTTAAGCTCTTGCCCACAAGGCAACAACTAAAATATGATTGTTCTTCCCTGTCATCACTTTTTTGATTAACAAAAAAGTGCACAATAACTCGAAACACCTAGCATAAAACATACAAGTTCAAAGTACACAAAAAAACATGGAAAACACATAACACATTGGTTGGATGAACCAAACAAACTCTAATACCACTAAATGTTGCATCTTTTATCCCACATACATGTATAACTTATACTTAAAAAAACAAAAATATATAAGAATACTAAAATTCATGCATAATTAACAAAACA